CCTTCCTTCCTTCCTTCCTTCCTTCCTTCCTTCCTTCCTTCCTTCCTTCCTTCCTTCCCCTCAGAAAAAGAGGATCTTTGGAAATGAAACATGCTGTGCTGCCTGTAGAACACAGAAACCATCCTGAGGAACAGGGACACATTAGCATGCTCTTCTCATTTCTTAGCTTTTTCACATCTTTAACAGGTGTCTCTGTCTGCAGACCCAGCAGAAGCTTTATGGTCAGAGGACGGGGCAGCAGCGTTCGGGTACTGTCACTGCCCTGGCTTCTGAGGAAGAACCTGGCTTTGATGGATTTGTATGTATCTTAGATGAGTTTCAAATGTCAAGGAGGTGATTGTCAAGTCCCCAATGGGGTATGATCTCACAACTTGGCTAGTTTTCAGGGTTGATATAAAAAATTATCCAATGGCTGAGTCATTAACTAGAGGAAGGAACACAGGAAGAAGTAGGAACTAGGTGAGAACAGGAACAAAGTAGAATAGAAGGGAAAATGACTCAGGCTAGAAAGAATGATGACCCATTTTACCTCAGAGAGGTTAGCCTAAACAAAACTCACTTTCCCAGCAGGCAGTTTCTGTGCACTCGCAATGGAGCCGGCTGCTTTAGTGACTGCATTAGGTTCAGGTTTTCCAGCTGTGGCAGCTGCCTCTGTTTTTTTCTCTACTTTGGCCTGGATGGAGATAAAGGGGGGAGGGGCAAGTTTCAAACCAAGATGAGACCCAGATGCCAAGGAAGGAAGAAAGTGGGAGAAGAAAAAAGCAAGGTCAGGATGCCAGGCAGAAAAAAGCAGGTCCCCCTTGCCCCTAAGACAACACACTCCCAGACGAGATCCAGAGATTCCTGAGCAAGAGGCACAAGGAAGAGGAACTACAGGCCAAAGCTGAAACAAAGAAGAGATCATGCAATTATGGAGAATGAGTTCAAAGGCTGAGAAGATCAAATCAGTGGATTCTTTGTGAGCAGGGGTGAGACTGTCACTTTAAATGTCAGTGCCCTCTTGGCTCTAATGCTTTTCTGTGTCCAAGCACATGCTCAGTCACCAGTGAGGGTAAGCATCACATTCGCCAGGTACTACAATAGACAACAACCCAATCACTAGCCCAAGTTATTTAAAACCTCACATTTTTGTAGCATAAAAAACTTAAGAGCAAAGATGGTGACAAGGGTCATTTTTGGCTCAGCCCAGACACTGGGCTGGGTTGTGCCACAGCCACCACTGTTTACCAAAAGCAACTCTGAGGCCCTTATTCCAGAATGATCCCAGTCTGTTATCAATGTCTTCCACATGAACCATAATTCTGCTGCATTGTTATGCCTATTCAATTTCTTTAAAATACTTTAAAAATTTTTTTATTGTGTATGAGTATTTTGCATACACATTAACATGTGTATGCCTGGTGCTCACTGAGACCACAAGAGGGCACTGGCTTCCCTGGTACTGGAGTTACATACAAATGGTTGTGAGCCACTGTGTGGATTCTAGGAACTAAATATAAGCCTGAGTTCTTAACTACTGTCATCACTCCAGGCCTAACTCAATTTTAAGAGTTTTGGGTTAATGCAATTTAAGTATCCTACTCCAGACACTGTCAGAAGAGTTCAAGTGCTAGCAGAGGATGTAAGGGAGGCTGTAACTACTCCAGGGATGAGGAATCTCAGGTGAACTTTGCTACCAATTTTTCCACAACGCGGGTAATAGCTGCTAACACTTAATACATAAATCTGTGATCCATTCTAAGGAGGAGTCTTAGAAAAGTTACTGTGTATGTGAAAGCATGCACATGGACGCTTGTGCCACAGCACATATGTGGAGGTCAGAAGAGAACTCGTAGGAGTCAATTTTCCCCTTCCATCTCAGGTTTCTGTGGATCAAATTCACGTGGTCAGGTCTGGTGGTAAGTGCTGGCCCTAGGACACTCTTTGTTGTTGTTGTTGTCGTTGTCCCCCACCCACCCCCCAAAAAAGAAAAGAAGACTGAGTCTCTCTCTGTAGTCATGAAACTCGAACTCAGAACCCCCTGCCTCTGCCTCCCTCTGCTGGAATTAAAGTTGTGCCACTCAACCTGGCTTCACAACCTTCTTAATTGTGAAGCACTGTGGTTTAGAAAAGCCAGAGTATGTGGTTCATTTCGTAGCACAGCTCCTCTGGGACACCAGAGAGCACCCAGTTCTCATTGGACATAGACCTCCGACATCATGGGACAAAGGAATAAGTGTGTCTAAGAATCAACAATAACCAACAATAATTGGGTTCATGTCCAAGGCCTCTTATAGTTTCTGAAGTTTTCTCTCCATGCTCCCTAACCCCTGTGCCCAGCCATAGTGATTCTGCTGTTCTGTCATCCTAGTACTCCCATTAAAGGCAGGAACGACGTGTCCAGCTTTCTAGAATTTTTATAATAAGGAAAACTCTTTCTACTCTTTCTTTCCCAAAGAGAAATATAAACGTAAATCCTAACACACTGAACAGGAGCTCCTCATAGGAAGAGAAAAGATAGAACTCATGCTACGCCACCCTGATATTGTGGTGCCAAGAGCTCAAATTAGAATTTCCTGGTGCTAAACACAGTGTCCTAGGAAACACCTTTGGTGACTGAATGTGGCAGAGAAGCAGCAGAAGGCAGCATGCTAAGATCCCCAAGCCCTAGACTTACCCGGCCTCCTCCAGGCTGGTGCTTGATGTTTTCTGTAGAGCCAACCTTGGAGCGAACGCTCTTCAGGTCAGGGGCAGAAGCAGTAGTGGTCAGGCGGCTCAGCCTGGGAGCTGAGCAGCTAGGTTTAGCCAAGGTGGGCTTCTTGTCCACAGAGAGAGCCACAGAAGGCCGGGAAGGTGCGGGCGTGGGCTTGGCTCGAGTGGAAGTCATCCCTGCTGGGGGTGCTGACCCAGTGGGAGTGGAGTTTCTCTTCACAGAACTGGTAGAGGTGGTCTTTGAGCGACTCAGGTCAGCTGCAAAAAAATGAGAAGTAGCAGGAGTTCATGAAGGGGTAGAGCTGGGGAAGGCGCATTCGGCTTCAAGTTAGGTGTATTATGGATTACCTGGTGCAGACTTAGCAGTCATCCTTTTGACATCAGCAGGTTTCCCCTCAGTTTTAGTAGCTGCACAAACAAATTAGTATATTTAACAAGAGATCAGCTGAGATTCATCGCTCATCTGACCATTACAGAACATCCATGTTGAGCTGGTGACAGTGCTTATTTCTGGGACACAGTACAAGATTAAACAGCCACACGAAGACTGTGCGCACAGCACACAAGGCCGGCACCATCAGTCCCAGTGATGACTTATGCATGGCCATAGAAGTAGCTTATTGAATATGCCTATTAAATTGGAATTAAATTGCCTGTTTCTTTTTTTGCTCAATGGAGAGTGAACCTAGGCCTCGCACACATTCCAAGTATTTTACCATGGAGCTGGACCCACAAATACAAACACAAAGTGCTGGCATCTGTGGAGTCACTAAGGAGTAACTAAATCATCTAAGAATTCACAAGTCACCTTTGCTCAAGATTTTTCTGAGTACATGCAGCTGCTAATAAGCTCACTTAGAGATGAGGGCTTGTTAAGGCCCAACACTGAGGGCTGTATGAAGAAGTCGCTACACTCTCAGCAGTTGCAATCAGAAGCTCCCCACTGGCTCAGATGGGAAGGAAGACTTCCTCATACTCACTGCTAGGCCTCTTAGGCTGGGGCGTGGCAGGACTTCTGCTGCTTGGCCCAGTGGAAACAAGAGCTGAGGGAGAAGTGGCTTTTGAGGCAGTTGGGGTGGTTTTGGGTCCAGGCCTGAGGGCTGGGGCAGATGCAAGCTTGGATGGCGATGTCCGCTTTTCAGGAATCTTAGCCTCTGTAATTGGCTGGAAATGGAAAAGTGGGAGTAAGAGTTGTAGTCAGTGATGGCCCCAGAGGGTTTTATAAACATGACCCCAAACTAAGAGACACTACGGACTCTGCAGTGACTAAGAAGACGGCATATGGTTCTAATATCAAGCCTCCAGATAACTTGGGTAAGGTGTTAGCTGCTGGTAGTGTCGTCAGCACACTTGGAAGGCTGAGGTAAAAGGATTGACTGTTATGAGATGAGGCAAACATTTAGCCACATGGTGAATTCTAGAACAGACTTGGGCACAGCATGAGACCACAAACAAAACCAAACAAAACATTCCAAAACAAAATAACAAAGTCCTCCAGTGCAAGAGGCCAGGTATAAGGAGCCCTGTGCTTTGAAGTTTGGAAAGGAGTCAATCTCCATCAATCCAAAGGAAATGATAACCCTAAAGGGTGCATCACACTACAACCTATTTGTACTTGAGATCCACTGCAAATATTTCACTCGATAAGATTTAATAAACATATGAACCAGAAGCTAAGTTATGTTTACTTAATTTAGCCATTCTTTTGGGTAACATTTAACCAGAGCTGTGGGACAGGACAGCACTCCTGAAGATGAGAGGTTATTAGTCAAATGAGAGTCAGAGCCTAAACCCAAGTGTCTTCTTGAAACATTGGCCCCCACAAATTTTATTTTTTTATCTGAAAAAAGAAGATCAGAACACAGCATTGCTATAGCCCAGCTTTTATGATATAGGATTAGGGACTTACAGGATGGGAAGACTGAAAGCAGAAATGTGACAAGAAGGGGCAGGCCTGACCATCATCAGGCATGGAATACTGTTCAAATGAGGGTCAGTTAAGGTAATGTTAAGACATTTAGAGTTGGCGGGGGGGGGGGGGAACGATGCAGAATCAAAGAAACAAACAGCCTGGTCTACAGAGTGAGTTCTAAGACAGCCAGGACTACAAAAAGAAACCGTGTCTGGAAAAACAAAACTACAACAACAGAAAAGAATTTTGGGTTGGTCTCTGACCATATCCTACCAAATCAAGTCTTACTGCATACGAGGATTCTCAAGTTCAGAATCAGGCATCTGCACTCTTTTCAGTTTGCTCTGGTTTTATTATCTGTGTGTGTATACACATACGTGTAGATTTATTTTTATGTGTATTGGTCCTCTGCGTACAGTGTGCCTGTATGAGGGTGTTGACTCTCCTAGAAAGGGAGTTACAGGCAGTTTGAGCTGTCATGTGGGTGCTGGGAATTGAACTCAGGTCCTCTTGAAGAGCAACCAGTGCTCTTAACCGCTAAGCTATATCTCGAGGCCTTTATTTGTGTGTGCATGTGTCTACTATGCACGTGCAGATGACTGCAGAAACCCAGTGTGGATGCTATAAACCAAACTTGGGCCCTCTGGAAGAATAGCAACTACTCTTAACTCCTGAGTTCAAAATGAGGAACAAGCAGAGCATGGTGACACATAATTTTAATCCTAGTAGTCAGTAGGCAGAGGCAGGCAGATTTCTGTTAAGTTTAAGGAGAGTCTTGTCTACAGAATGTGTTCCAGGCTTGCCAGAGCTACACAGTGAGACCTTGTCACAAAGCAAAACAAAACATTTTGAGGATCAAACCAAACTATGACTGTGATTCAGAGCAATCTAGCAGAGTCTTACAATCTTGCTATTAGATGCAATAATAATAAAATAATAAAAATGACTTGTGATAGAAATCACTAAAGAGGGTGACATCTTTCAGACATCAGGAATTTGCTGGGACAGACTGCCCTTTAGCCACTGTTAATCTGTTAGCTCCCACTTCCTTTTCTGAACAGGTATCCTAACTCTATTTGCTTCTATAAATCTACCACTTTAAGGGCAAAAGTAGCCTAATGAGACTTCAGTGAACCACTCTCTTAAAATATTTTCATTTGTCTTTATCTGAAGGAAAAGCAACAGGGACATTTACAAGAATACTGGTCACTCCTTCACGCTATGTAGCTCAGATAAGCCTGCAGCTCATGACCCTCCTGCCTCAGCTTCCTGCATGCAGTGCTTGATCAAATATCTGCCTACTTAGCCAGAGTTTCAGTTTAAGATGACAACCCCTACGTTTACTGTACACGATTAAAGAACAACGGTATCACATGGAAACCATTTCCCACCTGAACTTAAAGACACCAATAGGTTAAGTTAAAGGCCCTCAAATAAGAGCCTAAGGAAGGCAGCCACCGCTTGCACCCTTCCTTCCTCTAGGAGCAGTCCTGAAAACAAGTGCAGCATTGAAAGTGAACTAGAAAGATGAACATCTCAAGGAGCCCAGTGAGAAGTGGCCTAAAGCTGAAAGCAAAGTAAGCTGTCACATGATCCTGGAACCTGCTAAGTTTAGCTAGAAGAGTCAGTATGTTGCTAGGGTATGGGAAAAATGTAATTCTGCAGGATGATTAAAAAGAAAGGAAAAATAACTGAAATGGAAGTATGAAGTATGGCCTACCCCAAACAGTATATGATTAGTATGTAGATCGCAGGAAACTGATTAGGTACATAAACAGGTGAAGAGTAAGGAACAGTTAAGAAAAAGGAAGAACAGAAGCAGATGCAATATGGCTCTGGTCAGCGCAGATAAAGGGAAAAAGAATAAAAGGTTTTCAAATGTTATGACCTCAACAACGGGCAGCCACACTGGCTTTCAGAGCACCCGCAGGCCTTCCCCTACCCTTTCCCAATTCCACCAGCTCATCACCTGCAGCAAGTGCCTGGCTATGGACCTGAAACTCACAGAAGGACTCTTTTCCTGGCACAGTATATGGATGGCTACTTACCTTTGGTTTCACGTCTCTTGCAGGTAGGGTGGAAGGCCTGGCAGTAGCAGTGGCAGCAGCAGGGCGTTTGAGTGGGGCAGCTGGCACTGAGCCTGAAGCGAGGCTCATGGGTTTTTTACTCAACCCACCAGAGGTGGTGGGAGCTGGCTGCTTAGGGAGAGAAGTGGGCTGTGTTTTGGCTTTCGATGTTGACGTCTTTGCAGGCTGAGTGGTGGCCAAAGGCTTTAGGATGATGGTTGTTTAATTTTTAATTTTTAATTTTTAAAGAACATCAAACACACAGACAAGAATAAAAACAAATAAAAAAGTATAAATTGCACAATTCAAAGTAAAATTATAAGCAATGAGGATTAATGCAACTGAAAATTAGCATTCCTTTCTTCTGAGCTCAAAAAATAGTAAAAGTGATAGACAGCAAGATGAAGCTTAAGAAACTATAATTTTTTTAGTCTTAGTTGGACCCAAGGTCTTAGACATGCTAAGTACATATTCTACTCCTCATCTCCATCTCCAGGTCTGTAAAAATGCTTCCTAATCACAGTGCCAGACATTCCTCCAGTAGTTTGGTTCCTAAACAATTTTAGTAATAGCTTTGTCATTAATTAACTTTTGGTGGTTGTTAGAATTCTAAAAATAAAGCCATCAGCAAGTGATTAAATCATTATTAGAGTTTTTAAAAAATATATATGATCTTGCTATGCTACGCAGGCTGGCACACAACTTACGATCCTCTAGCCTCAGGCTCCCAAACTGCTGAGATTACAGTATAGGCACCGCACCCTACTTTCTTACCTATTTGACAAGACAGCAAAACTATACCGTAAAATGGGCACCTTTGTGTTTACCAAGTACAAGAGGAAGTTTCTGAAGCTATGATCTGTTTGAAAGCCTTCATTCCCTTCATGAACAGATCTCAGAATAAGTCTACAATTACCTTTTATTGTTAGTAAGTCATTTATAAATTGCCTATGGTAAACATATTAAAACCCTGCCTGAAAAAGCCATAAGCCTAGTGGTAGAGCGGTTGTCGAGGAAGTACAAGGTCCTACATTTAATCTCCAACATAGAAAACAAATATCTATCGAACATTTTACACAGAAATACTATAAAACTGCAAAACAGAAGATTTTAGTATTTGGGATAGGCTATATGAGAAAGTTAGAATAAAGTTTCTAAGAACATCTGAATTTAAAGAAGGTCAAGACAGCTCAGAAAAAAAGACATTGTATTCACGATTCAAGCAATAACAGCAGGAGTTTTTTTTCATTACAGTAAAGTGTAACCACCATTCACTCTTGTACCTACCTTTGCTTTCTTTTCTGGGCTTGGCGGGAGCTCCTTGTTTGGTGGGGTAGTGATGTCATTTCCGGTTACACCCACAGCAGCCTTTCCTTCTTCTTGCCTGGCTATTCCTAAACCACAGAGAGTCAACAAGAATTATCCTAAGCAAATGTGTTTTACAACCATTTTAAACACAGAAGGCTCTGTTGCGAGATCCATGACTGGTGCCCCATTCTGAAGCACTGCAACGGGCTAATGCTACTAAGATGGAAGGCTTTCGTTCTCCCTAGGTTCAAACAGTTCTAGGAGCTCTGAGCACTTATCCCTGTGCTGAAAGCAAAGGAGGCTTTGCCCTGATGATCAGTGGGAAAAAAAAAAACAAAACAAAACCCCAAAAAAAACACATAAAAACAGCCCTTAATGGTCCCATCCCCTCGATACCAACAAAGAGCTTCTGTCACCCAAACACCAACTGCCTGAAAACAAAGGGGATAAAAACCTCTTCTGCCATAGTCTATCCCTTGGAATAAAGGTTGCTGAGAGATGGGGCAAGAGCCAGATGGTTCAATAACCTCCCTTACTTCCTTTCTCTGTAAAGAACCACTTTACAGAGGATGTGAGATTAAGCTGCTCCAATTCTAACAGTGACCTAGATTTCCAAAAAGGCTGAGACCCATGGCCATCAGCCTAAGCTAGCAAAGCTGTTCTCGATACAGGAGATGCTTCAGAAGTCAAGGAGATATGTCTGGAAGCACTGTAATGCTATGAAATGTGCAGTCCTAATGCGAAGGTTTTCTGACTGGCCCAAAATCCATAAACCACAAAAAGTGTACTAGAGTCATGAATCCCAAAATGCAACTACCAAAATACTTGAGCCACATCTCAAATACTTAACTCCTACAAATCAGTAACTCTTTTATTACTGTTTTTTGTTTAAGACAGAATCTCATATAGCCAAGGTTGGCCTGGAAATCACTACATATGTGAGGATGACTTCCAATTCCCCTGTATCCACCTCCCGAGTGCTGGGATTACAGAATTGTACTGTTGCGCCAAGTTTATGCAGAACAAACCTAAGCTTTGGGGATGCTGGGTGAGCATACTACCAACTAAGCTACATCCTTGTGGCCTCTTTTTCTTTTTTGAAGACTGGCTCTGGCATAACAGATCAGCTGGTCTTGAACTCCTCATCCTCTTCCCTCATTTCCTAAATGCTGTGATTACAGGCCTGTGCCACCACACCCAGACCCAGGTATCAGTAACTCATGTAAAGTCAACAATCCACAAAAAAAAGCTCAAAATATGCAAATAGGTCACAGAAATGCTAATGTCTTTTGAGACTATGAAAAGGTAAGCCAGGACAGTAGCACAGGCCTATAATTCCAGTCCTGGGGGATGTAGAAGCAGGCAGAGTTCAAAGCCAGCTTTAGCTACATAGTGAGCGAGTTTAAAGCCAGTCTGGGCTAGATGAGATCCTGTCTCAAAACCTGAACAGTAAGGGCTGGAGACATCTCAAAGGTTAAGAGCACTGACTTCTTTTCCAGGGGACCTAGTTTTGATTTCCAGCACCCATGCTGCAGCACATAGATCCAGTTCTGAGGCATCCACAGGCACTGCATGCACTGATACACAGACATGCAGGTAAAAACAACCAAGAGATAAAAATAAATAAATGTCAAGAGAAAGAAAGAAAAGAAAAAAAAAGGAAGGAAGAGAGAAAGAAAGAAAGAAAGAAAGAAAGAAAGAAAGAAAGAAAGAAAGAAAGAAAGAAAGAAAGAAAGAAAGAAAATTTTGCTGTTCTACGAACTATTTGATTATCTTTTAGAATTTCTTAATTAACCTTTTGAAATTCATTGCTTTGTACAACTTCTTGGTAGTTGCTGTAAGTGCTGGCATTCAAGTTTAATTATTTAGAATAATCTACTAAACTTTTTACTTCCACTTTAAGATCCTCACTTTGATTTTCTGCAGTGGAACTCATGACTTACACATTCTAGGCAAACACACTGCGCTGAGCTATATTCTGAGCCCCTAACCCCAACTTTAAAATTAAATGTCCTAAGGGCTGGAGATACAGATAGCTCAGTAGGTAAAGCAAGCACATGGGGACCTGTGTTTGATCCCTAAAATCCACAGGCAAAAAAATGCCTGTTTGTAATCCCAGTGCTAGGGAAGTAGAGACTGGCCAGGCAGTCTGGTAAACGGTAAGCTTCAGAGCAAGGAGAGACTTTGTTTCAAAAGAGGGAGATGGTGTTCCTGAGGATGAGACCTAAGGCTGTTCTCAGGCCTCCACACAAATGTGTTCTATACACCCGCCGCATACATACAAACACAGGCATAAAAGACGTCTTAGATTGATTTCTTGTTCACAGCCCTGAGAAAATACCCTGTCAGAAACTGCAATGTCAGAAAGACAGCCATTCATCCTCTCAGAGAGAATGCACAGCCCCTCTCTGTTGCTTTCAAGATTATCTTTTTTTCTTGTAAAAGTTCAAGCTAACTTGAAAAAAGTTTAGTTTTTCACATTTAGAATTTCCTTCCTTAAGGAACATTTAGAATCTTCACTTCCTTAAATCTGTTTTTATTTTTTATTTTGGAGGATTGTTTTTTGTTTGTTTGTTTGTTTGTTTGTTTTTTCCCCAAGACTGGGTTTCTCTGTGTAGGCCTCGCTGGCCTTGAACTCAGAGTTCCATCTGCCTCTGACTGCTGCTGAGTGCTGGGAGTAAAGGCATGTGCCACAACTATTGGCTACTTTCTTCATTCTTCAATCTTTATCCTACTGTCTTGGCCAAATTTGGTACACTTGATTATGATTTCTTTCAACAGCCACTGAGTCTTTCATCCTCTTTCTCCTCTAGTGACTCTCAAGATAGTAGCAATGCATAGGTCTTTCATTATTGTACTTTGTCCTGAAAATCATTCGCGGTTTTGCTATTATTCAAATGATTGAACTAAGTAATTTCTACTCATATGCCAAATTCACTAATCTATGAAAGAACAGGACCCAGGACAAGTCCTCTACCACTGAGCTATATCCACATCTCTGAGTCACTGGTTCTACCCCATTTCTATTGTTTTAGGTTGTTTTTGTTTTTAAATGAGAAAAGGTTTCAATTCTGTAGTCCAGGTTACCTCCCTAAGATGAATCCGGGGATGACAAATATGTATTGCCATGCTGATATAAGGCCTTACTTTTTCATTTTTATTATTTATTTGGAGTTTTTCTGAGGAGCCCTGGCTGATCTGGACTCACTTTGTAGACCAGGCTGGTCTCAAACTCACAAGGATCCACCTACCTCTGCCTGGGATTACAGGCGTGCACCACCACGCCCAGCTTTATGGCCTCATTTTTTATTTCTTGGTTTTGTTTTCTAATATCTACGATTAACATTTGGTCATTTTTAAAATTAACATATTTTATCCTTGAGATTTTCTAAGTTTTCATTTCTTTTTCCTTCTTTTTTATTTAAAAACATTTAGGGGCCAACAAGATGGTCTAATAGACAAAATCACATGCCCTTAAGCCTGACAGCGTGAATACAATCCCCAGGAACCACATGCTGGAGAGAATGGAATCCTTCAAGTTGTCCTCTGATTACCAAATCCATGGCGAGGCACACTCTTGCTCAAATGTTCAACCTCAAATAAAGAAATAATAAATACTAGATAGACAGACAGACAGATGTGGTGGTTGTTAAAAATAACTGATGACTTTTATTTTTGTCGCATATGGGGAGTGCAGGTACACAAGCTCGCATGTGCCGCCATGTACCTGTGGAGGTCAGAGGATGACCTGGACCTTGGTTCTCTCCACCATGTGGGTGCCAGAAACTGAACTCAGTTTGTCAGCAAGTACCTTTATCTACTAAGATATCTCATTGGGCCCTCATTTTTTTTTTCCTTTGTAACTGTTTGTTAAAATAATTTTCTTGATGCCTGCTTTAAAATTCTAATATTGTACTGTAGCAAGCAATCACCATTATATTTAGTACATACATTTTGGCTGTAGTTCAAGTGAAATGTAGCATATACAGCCCTAGCAGTAATTTCTGACCTGCTGTGTCTTTCTGGCCTTGCTGGGTCTTCCAATCTATGTTGGTACTGCTTGAAAAAATTGAAAACAATTCCCTGGGTCATTGGGTATCACAAGGTAGGAATTAAGTAATGGGAAGGAGAGAGCATCTCTTGACTGTGTGGAGTGAACACTCTTTCTATTTGGTTTTGACCTGCTGCTAAGCAGGAGCTAGAAAGAAAGCTATGTAGGTCCCCACCACTTCTGGGTAGAGGACTGTCAAACAGTTTATATATGTCCACAATGCTTACTTGGTGATGGCAAGGAATGTCCCAATGTCCCGTTCCCCCCCCCCCCCCAATTGCTGCCATTGTCGGTGGATCAGGTCAACAGCTGCTTCAGCTGAGACAATGTGTCTGTCAGAAGCTCAATCACCACAGGCAGACTGCTCAGTGCTCGGTATGGGCATAAAAACAGGGTTTACAACTAGGCTTTTTCTAGGCTTACTTTTTCCTATCCTTAAAAAAATATTCCATTTGTGGCAGGGGGTACCAAGGTGTTCATGTGGAGACCACATGACAATTTATAGGCATTTGTGCTCTGCCCTCATCCTGAAGGAATGAAACCAAGATAATTAGGCTTTACCTCAACTGTCTTTTCATTATTATTATCATTATTGTCTACTTGCTGGAATTCTAGGTTGTAAGCCTCCCTAGAGGTACAGAGAAGAAAAAAAAAAAAAAATCACTGGGAGCCTACTGCTCCCTTAGGTTCTATAGTTTCTAAAATTCAAAACTTTTCAGGTTCCTTTACAAACCTTCTGTTATAAGAAGCTAAGCCTGGAATATAGTTGTGTTTATAAAGGAGGAACAGGAAAAGATGACTCAATATAACCTTATCTTGATATGTTCTCTTGTGTAGAATATTTTCTATGTGTATGTATGCTGTTGTATATATCTATGTTTGAGCTATATGCAGTTTTCGGTTTTAAAAAAATAGTTTTAGTTTTAAATATCACACACACACACACACACACAAAAAAAAAAACAAACCCACAACTGTATCAGTTTAGCAATATTTCTGTTCTGTAGAAGCTAAAGAAAGGTCACACCAAATGAG